CCGAGAAGATCACTCCTGCAGCTCCCAATGCAACGCTCTCGTCAATGGTGGAGACCAAATCTTTCTGCAAAGGATGTATATGAATACTGCTCACTACATATAGAGCTTTGGTTCAATATGTAAATACAGACCACAGTTAAATATATGCTGTACAAGCAATAATAGCTATTTTAAGGCCAAAAACATGAAAATAACATGAGTAATTATCATGTTTTATATCAATGAGTTGGAAAAAAAACTAATCTGGTGAAGGGTTACCTTGAGTTCCCACCAAATTAACATAATTGCATATAAAATGTCTGAACAACAGGAGCGGATTGGAACAGAAGCCAAATTCTTTGAAGTGCACACACCTGGCCAGTAAACGTCTTTCAGCAGGTGTAAACTAACTATTTAACTCTTCAATGGGATCTGAGCTAAACTATAAGTTTTTTTTATTTTTAATTGACAGACTGCTGGACTTCACCAGGTGACAGTTACTTCTTTCCCTCATAACATCAATTTATATCCCCACGGGGCGTTTTGTTGAATTAGCAAGGAAGTAAATGGACTCAGAGCTGAACTCTGTAGATACCAATGAGGTTTTATATTTTTGAAATTTCAGCCTCAGTTTGTCATTTAACATGATGTATTTACACAATCAGGGAAACTTTTGGAAATCTCAGTTTAGGTAAGAAACCACATTCTCTAGAAATACACACCAAATTTAGCTTTTTTATAGTAAAGCCCAAGTTTAACGAGCTAACTGCAAATATAAAATGTTACGGGCAACATTAAACATCAACTCCAAACTTTTTGTCTTTTTTAAATAAAAATATTTCAGTGATTACCCTAGTTCAAATTATAAATAATCATGATAGAAAAGTAAAAATAAAATATTTTTGAACTTTGGGAATTATAGGAAACAACAAAAATCTGTATCAGGTAGGTCATAGTTTTACAAAAGTGTAACTCTCCTCCTGGAGCTGCTGCCTAGTGGCTGGGGCAGAGCGCGGCAGGGGGATTTATATGGGTGGAGCAGAGACATGTAGAGGGAACATATCGGGCTGCATTAGCTGATGAATAGATTAGGTTTACGGACGAACAGGAAAATAAATTTCCTACCATCCCGGTCACAACAGATGGTTTGCGTGAGTTTCTCTGTGTGTGACGAAGGTGCCACACAGAGAAATTGACACAAAAGCTATAAATGGCTGGGAAAAGTGAGAGTTAATCAATAAAACTGACTGAATTTCAAAATATAGACTAAAGTCTGGAGTACAGACAATTTCTATGTTTTTTATGATCCTACTCCTTTATTATTACATTGAAAATAATAAAAAAATTGTATAATTGTTATCCCGGTTAACTTAAAAAGTGAGGTGCTACTGTTACAGGCTAATTTTCAGTGCTACACAAAAGTAAATGTTAAGACTGCACACATGAAAATTTGGGACAATGTGAATGTCCGATATTATTACTGTTAATCCAACAGTATTTACCAATAACTTTTTCGAATTTTTTATCGGATTGCTTGATTAATCATAAGAATAATTGAAAGATTACTTGATTACTAAAATAATCGATTAAAACAGCACTATTTCCTCCAATCAACCAACCTCAGTTAAAAGGGTCATCTCATTATTGTAAGTGGGTCGGCTATAAACAAAAACAGGACGTGCCAATCCATCCCCAACAGATGCAAGGCGCATTGCCTCCTTCACCCTGTTCAGGACAAACAGGCGTGCCTGATCAGTGGAGCGCAGGTCAGGATCCAGGTATATTGAGGGGAAAAGGGCGGTGCTTTCATTCCACAGCCAGTTCAGTTCATCATTGCGCTCAATCTCAACATCAGGACAACGTCCTGTGTAGCTTTCCATTTTCCCTTTGTAGTCATGGTTGTAACAATCAGGAAACAGGTAGAAGCCCCACAGCTTATTCGGTCTCAATTTTTTACCCTGTCTCAGGGTCCCCTGCAGGAATTCACGAGCCGCAAATTCAAATTCTTCTTTTGCAGCAGTCGCCACTTGCTCTTGAGTCAACCTAGAGTTCTTTCTGGCCACCAGTTCACGTGATCTCCTTCTATAGACATCTTTGGCAGACCAGTTTCGAACCCACAAGGGGCGCCATTCCTCCCAGTCAATGACAGACAGACCTTTAGCCTGGCGGTCTGGTATGTATGTATCTAGATCCTTTGACATTCTTTCAAAGTGCTGAGAGAGATTGACACGTTGTGGAATGCCCCCAATCACTTGTACGTCTTCAGCGTCATAATAGGGATAATGCCCAAGGTGGTCCTTATAGAAAAATGAGAGAGTCTGCCGGGTATAGCCCTGAGTGGGGGATGACACTATGTCAAACTGGTCTAATGATAACTTAACACCTTCATGTGTCTCACACTCTTGAGTGGGAGCATTCCAGACAAAGAGAACTGGCTTCTTGGAGTGTAATGGCCAGCTTGTCTGCTTTGTGTCTGCTGAACCCAGGACTATCCATGATGTAAACAGAGCAAGGAGCGACCAGGACAGTCGGTCAACTGCAGCGAGGAAAGAGGGGAATACAGTCCCCATGGTGGTCCCTGCTCACCTTCACTCCTCTGTTTCCAAAAAAACACAAAAAGATGTAAAATTGACATACAACAATGAGACAGAAAAATCTATGTTCTCTATATTGTTTGACTGTCTAATGCTTTAAAAAACAAAATATATATATATATCTGAATTGGGTCACTTCAGGCTGCAGTGTGATCGCAACCTTTGCCAACTTAAGTTTGCTTCTTTCACAAAGAGTTTTCACTCAGTCATGTTTCTGCAAACACAATATGACAAAATGATCATGGAGATGATGGCCTTGGTTTCTTACCATTTAAGACGTAAAGCAACGTTGAATCAGATACTGCATTGAATCGACCCGAGGGACAGCAGAATGAAACAGAAAAAAAAAAACTGATGCAAACCTTTTTAAGATATTAATGCTCAAAACAAAACATCCCAGTTCCATTTCCTGTTTCAAAAATAAACAATCTTTCTTCTAGTTTAAATCACGAATTGTTATTAAATTGTAATTATAATTAGAACACTAACTTCCAACGTCTGTCTAGTAAACTGCATTAACTAATAATTAATT